AACCACTCTGATGTGTCTCTGTTGGTCAGGTAAGGCTTTAAAGATCTTGTGGCACTTGATTGGAGTGTCATGGAGGGTCTCCATCTTGGAAGCTGTCTCAAGCTGCCTCACCTCATGTTGGGTATTAACCTCTTCACTCTGTCCCTCTGTGATGTAGAGCTCAGTGTAGATCCTGTTGAGGAGGGTTCCACTTCCTGTTTCATCAGTTCCTTCAGTCACATGTTTACATCTCGTCTTCAGACTGATCTTATGTTCATCTAAAACCTCCTGCAGACCACCACTCACTAATGAAGAGAAGAGTCTCAGTCAAAACAAAGAAGATTTGACAATCTGCTGACTATTTTCATTACCAATATAAAGATAAATATAGAAATATAAACAGAAGTTTATAAAGTCCAGTTTTGAGGGAACATCAGAAAATGTTATTTTTGTCTGACTGTGTGTTGGTGTACGTGTTTGATTGACAGCAGAGGCAACAGGCTGAGTCTCAGCAGCTCATTATCTAAACTAGCCCTGCAGGATATGAGGAATATCTGCGATGTGCAATAACAATGTTCAATATTGCCATGATGATATGACTTATGATACAAATAAACAAACATTAAAGGGTTCATATTAGCTATGCAGTTCCTGCAGTCAGCCTGGTTTTCTTTTAATTAAGAACGGGATAAGAATGTAATATTTTAAATAAAACTTCATGTTGTTTCTAGAGCAACAACTGTAATGTTTACAACAGCAAAGTCACTATAAGAACTCAATAATATCTCACTGTAAACAAATTTAAAACATAAATAAAAAGAAATAATATTCCTGACATCAAAATAACAAAGTTATACTTCTATACTAACGAGCGTAGTTGTGGTCAAGTGTCTCCACACAGAGGTGGTTTTGGTTTGAGGGAGGAGACCATCTCAGGTTGGCCTGTTAATGACCGCTAGGTCAGTCAGTCACTCATGTAGCTGCGTTTTTTTGAAGCTGTGACGCCGGGAACCAGATTTTCATTCATGTTACTAAAACCTTTGTTCCACATGTAAGTTAGCACAATATGCTGAAGGATTTTAGTGTTACTCACTGTGTGGTTATGTACATTATTACACACTGTTTCTGAATGATAATTTTAGCTCAGAGCCTGTTCCTCACCCAGGAGGATCTTGACATATCGTGCCTAAACTACTGCAACTCACTCCTGTCTGCCTGCATGTGCCATCTGACCTCTGCAGCTCATCCAGAATGCAGCAGCTCAGCTGGTCTTCAACCTACTGAAGCTCTCCCACACTACACTGCTCCTCCACACCCTGCACTGACTACTGGTGGCTGATCCAATCACTTTTCTAGTCACTGGTACTTGTCTACTGTGCTGCCAATGGCCTGAAAACTATATGTAGCACTTGAAGATGTTCAGCATATTTGATGAAGTTGATGTAGTTACATGATTCATGCAGTTTTGGGGTTGTATCCACACACAAGTCTCTAAATAAACTTAATGTAATGAAAAATTAGATTTTTAAGATGTACAGTCTTACTTTGTACAGTGCTGGTCTGACTGGCTGTCTGCAGTCCAGCTCTTGTTCTGGATCTTTTTCCACACTGGGGACAGGAGGAGTCTCCTGATGAAGCAGACTGGTCCCAGTATGAGGTGATGCACTGTCTGCAGAACCAGTGTCCACAGCTGGTAGAGACTGGATCCTTCAGGACGTCCTGACACAAAACACAGCAGGACAGCTGCTCCTCCACAGAAACATGACTCCTCTTCCTCTCTCTGTGAAGACATTTCTTTATTACTAAAATGATTTGTTGATTGTTGATGAAAAATACTGAGATTTGTCCGACACTGTCTGGAAGCTCAGATGGTCACAGAGAACATTAAAAGTGTTGTTAACCTTTCTGTTTGAATTCAGCATTCAGTCTGTAATGAAAATGATTCCTTTTATTTCAACTCTCCTGCTTTCATAAACACTGAGTGCTTTTCCTATCTGTCTGTCTTATTAAACATTTATTGATCTGCCTGTAGCTTGTTATTAATACAAACTCAACACTTCCTGCAGCTGCTTCACAATAAAAGCCTTCCATTAAAGAGAGCTGATTATGTCCTTCACTGTTCTACAGTCACTTTGGGCAGATTAGCTTGTGTTAGTTTAAACTGATGTTAGAAGTGCTCTAAATAATTATGATAGACCAGCAGTTTACTGTAAGACACATAGCACGTAACAGTGGTGTCACAGGTTCAACTACAAACTGTTTATTTGTTTGTTTTTAATTCCTTTTATGTTTCCTGTCACTCTATATTGTCAACTATCAAATGAAGGAATATATCCAGTTCAAATATTCTTAAAAAAGAAGTCTCCAAATCTACATTTGACATTTTCTGTCCCTGTTTTTAAATCTGCAGATTTTACATAAATAAATGGATGTTTGTTTCTTCATCTTTAGAAACAATATATTTAATTACACATTAGAAACAGATTCTTTCAGATTATAGTTACAAATATTTACAGTGACTTCAACATTAGAGCAAAAATATATGAATATTATTATATTATATATTAATTATAAATTCTGAAACTGAGGTTCTCAAGTGTTTTGTTGAATAAATTAAATAGGATACATTTTAGTTTGAAACAGTGTCTGCACTAATAGTTCTGCATCATGAAAATAAATCTATTTTGTCTTCATGTTCAATGAATCATCTTTCATCGGGTCAGTTTACAGTAAAAACAGTTTCTTACTTTGTGTCTGAGGGTCCAGGTTCATTACTGAAGTTCAGAGGAGGATTATAGGACTGATCACTCTTCATAGACAGACAGCTGGACATTGGAGACTCTGCTCTGTCCTCCTCTTCCTCCACACAAACACTCATCTTCTGGACTTCAGTCAGTCTAAGACGTAAAATATTAACAGACTGAGCTCAGAGCACAAGAAACAGTAAACAGGGAAACAGGTATGTTTAAGAGAAAACAGGAGGTAACACACACACACACACACACACACACACACACACACACACACACACACACACACACAGTACTCTGTATAGTATATAGAGTATACAGTATAATATAGAACTCCACCTGGTCACTTTCTTTAACCCTGTACTTGTTTTCTTGGGTTACAGTAGCTTTAATCTGTATTATTCAGTCAATCACAACTTTGTATCCACAGATGAATCAAACTGTTGAGTTCATTCTAACATTTCTGTCCTCTACAGTCCACAGGAAGAAAACTGACTCAGAGACTTTGACAGTAAAATAATAATAATGTTGTATTAACACTCACCCTGCCTCAGCCTTCAGTTTCCCCTCCTTTTGCTCTGTCGACTCAAAATGGAGACTGAGACTCAAACTGAACACTTTCACTTTCAGGGTTTCCTCCCTCTTCTGGTGGTCGAGACAGACGACCACCCACCTAGAGCCAAAGGATGCTCTATTTAAAAAGTGTCCTGAGATAACTTCTGTTATGAATTGGCGCTATACAAATAAAATAGAATTGAATTGAATTGGATTGAGAGGGAGAATTAAAAAAGCGCTGAAAGAAAAAGGCATTCGTTTCCAAACCCCATTCACGAGGATCCAGATCCACTGGAGCACCGGCCCGCGGACCTACGAGGACGCACATCAAGCTGCACGGGAGCTGCGGACACTGGGGGATGGAGGTGCCCGGTGTCAGAGAGGACCCGGCTTCCAACTTGGAGGAGAGGATACTGAAGGCGTTCCCATGGCAACAAGCGACCAATGGAGGAAAACAAATGGAGACAGGAGTGAAAGAAAAGCTCCAAGAGTTTAGAAGATCATCCCAATGTTAAAAACCGCACAGAAAAGCATGTGAGTGGACTGGAAAACAGGGGAGGTGAACTGTTCCTCTTTACTCTCTCTCTCTTTACTTCAACACTTAATCTGTTGAAATGACTGTAAATCACAGACTGAAGGGAATAGTAGAGTTGGACTCATTAGTGGACATGGAGCGCACCAGCAGGTCAGCCACTACACCACTAAGGAGGGCCCCAACCATCCAGGAGGGGTTTTTCCCTCCACCCACCAACAGGGGCCTTAGAGGGACAAAGGTTCCTCAGTTACAGGAAGTTCTCGCATTTATTATTTTTGTTATGATGAGTGTAAATGCTTGTTCTTGTTCTACGTTCAGAACAGAGGAGGTTTTTTTTTCTACAAGGGAAATCTGCTTTTTGTTGAGGTTATAGCATCACACAGCTCCAGATGTAAGCTGGTACATACAGGGACCAGATAATGAAAGTAGTGTCTCTAAATGTGAATGGGCTTCATAGCCCAGTCAAACAGAGCAAAATCCTTCTTAAACTAAAAACAGAAAACATAGATATTGCATTTCTGCAAGAAACCCACCTGATAATAGATCTAAACACACTAGGGGAGTAGTAATACTAATGTCAGGAAGGGTGACATACGAACATATGTCTACTATTAAAGACAAGGAAGGTAGATTCATAATGATCTGTGGGAAAGTTGATGGATATTTGTTTACCCTATACAATGTGTATATCCCTCCTGGTTCAGAACCACATTTTTATACCCAAGTAATTGAGAGGATAGCAACTGAAGCACAGGGGACTTTAATATGTGCAGGTGACTTTAATACTACGCTCAACCCAAACCTTGACTCAACTGGGATAAGAATATCTCGCCCCCCAAAAATAACAAAGAAAATGAATTTACTACTATTAGAAATAGGACTAATTGATATTTGGAGACACCTAAACTGCAAGAATATAAATATTGGGCATTAGGCAAAGGTTATCTGTATTTCTACCGCAGAGAGAGGCAGTGCTCAGTGCCCGACCTGTATCATTCAGGAACATCTTGATGATGTACGTGTGCGTGTCCCACCGTATGTTTACGACTTTTCTCATTTGGAGCCTCACTAACTTTGAGTGCTGCATCACAAAGTGGTATAAAGAAGTACTGTTTGTATTTGTGGTTCATAATCTGCTACTGTTTTGTTTACAGGTCAGGAAAATTGGTGTCAATAAAAGTAATTCTCACTACTTTTTTATTTTATTTCTTTGCAGCACTAATATAAAACACCTTAATATTTAAACCACCACAGTTTATCAACCAATACAGTCTCAACATGAGCCAAAGTTAGCATTTAAAACTATTTTTTTTTACAAAACAAAGGATAAAAATGCAGCCACCTCTTCATAACAATAATCATGCTGGTAAAAATCCTCATTAGTTTGTTTAAGATTGCCTTCTTTACTTTGAAATAAATGGCATGCATGTTGTTTCACCATGCATTGCCACAGCCTTTCCTCCGTGAGGGGCAAACACAGTCAGTTTACCATCAAGCAGCCACTTGATAAGAAAATTGGAATTGCACCAAAAATGTAATAAGCTGCAATTGACTGATAAGATGATGCAGAAAACCGACAACTCCTTCTTAGGAGGGATACTTATAGCCACAACAGATCAAACTAAACTCAGACTACTCAGTTGCATCCCGCCATTGCTTTACAACTTTACATCCATGTTAAAGTGCACATCATTAATGTTAATACATTCCCATATGTTATATTATACTGCAGCTTACTGCTGTATGAAAGGGATGAAATTCTTAACATTTTTCAAAGAGCCTACAAGAATGTCACCCTCCAAAAGATATCATCCAAACTATACTCAGCTCTTCAAAACCTTAAAAGTGATCATACTTTGGATATTAAGGAAAGATGGGACGCAGAGGGAGGCTTCACAGTCTCACAAGAGGAATGGGACAGGACTTGCAGACAGCAGTGGTCAGTGACAAGCTCCCCCTCCTGGAGGGAATTCAGCTGGAAAAACGTGACTCGATTCTTTCGTTCTCCAGCACAAAAGACCAACTATTCAAATCAGACTGCCTGTTGGAGGTCCTGTGGGAATACTTCAGCAAATCATTTTCATATGTTTTGGAGCTGTCCCTCGGTGGCTCCATTTTGGAGAGAGGTTCTTGGGGTCCTGGAAGCTGTTTTTAAAAGGAAAATGTTTTAAATTTCAAAGTCATGTACCTGTGTGATCTGGATGGATTTGAATATACAAAGCGGGACAAATACCTTTTGAGGGTGTTGTTAGTGGGGTGTAAAAAGACTTTGACCTCAGAGGCAGAGCAGGTCGTTCCTTAATCGGAAGGTTGTGGGTTCGATCCCCGGCTCCTGGTGCCACATGTCGAAGTATCCTTGAGCAAGATACTGAACCCCAAATTGCTCCCGATGCTGTGTATGAATGTTAGTTTCTGTTTGATGGACTTTGCCATCACTGTGTGAATGTGTGTGAAAGGGTGAATGTGGCACGTAGTGTAAAAGCGCTTTGAGTGGTCGGAGACTAGAAAGGCGCTATACAAGTACAGGTCCATTTACCATATAGTTTATAATATATATGTTATGGAAAGAATTACATTCAAACTAAGGAACCAAACTGATACTTTTGAAGAGAACTGGTCAAAATGTCTCAGCTATGTGTCAACTGTAAGACCTGATTTCATATAGATCTCAAAGATAAGGTCGAATTCTTTAATAAGAAATGTTTTTTCCCTATTTTCAAGCAGCATCTTTATATTTTTATGTATGATGTGCTTATGTTGACTGCTGTTTTACTTAATGCACAAATCCTCCCCTCGTCATGTTATGTTATGTTATGTTGTATGTTTTTGTACCCAGCTGGCACATATGTAGGAGCCCCTAAAGAGACATGGAAAAAAAATAAAACATGAAACGTTTCTAGTGCGCACTAGATACTATCTTGTGAGCACTAGATACTATCTTGTGAGCACTAGATACTATCTTGTGCACATGGCTCATTTGAATATTAAAAGTAGCCATGTGTTGATAGGTCACCACACGAAAATGTAACCAATGAAATTACTTATTTTAACACACATTTTAAGCCAATAAGTATTAAACTAACAAGGTAATTTGTCAAAAGGCGACCGTTTCTGTTATTTTCTCAAAAGGGAGATCAGGAGTCTGAGACAGAGGGGCCGACACAGGACAGGGCATTTAAATGCGGACTGTAACAAAAAAGGTTACAGATTAATTTACATTTATTTTTTAGTTACAGACAAATTAGTTTAATACTCATTTGAATATTAAAATTAGCCATGTGTTGATTCGCCACAACACGGATGTATCTAGTGTTCACAAGATAGTATCTAGTGCGCACTGGAAACGTTTCATTTTTTTCCCCCAAGTCCCTTTAGGGGCTCCATACATATGTGTTTGTTACTAAAAGAAAACGAATAAAAAGTAAATAAATAAAAAAATTAACTTAAACATTCTGGTTTATACATTAAATAAATCAGTGTTATCTATGTTACAGTCGCTGGTAATACACTGCAACTCAATTACTGGCCACAAGAGGGCGCTGTTGACCGCATAATTATAATGTGGTCAACAGCGCCCTCTTGTGGCCAAATAACAGAACTGCAGTTAAAACAATGTAAACAGAAAACAGCAGTTTCCTACTTCAACACTGAATCTAATCCAGCTGCAGCAGTTTACCAACATTAAAAACTCCTTCAGGGGAAATATGAGGAGAAAATAAAATGTCAAAGCTTCCTGTTTCACAGCTGAACTTGATATTTATGTTGATGATATTAAAAAATCCCCACTTAGACCTGACATTAAAACTGTTGTATTAACCCTCTACTGCATTAATTATTACTTTAACATGATGGAAATGTTTTAATTCGTTTTTTATTATTTAAAATGGTTTAAATAATGGAAATATTTGATATATTTTTATAATTGTTTCTTTTCTAAAAACATAATACCTACATGTTTCCATTTTACAAAAAGCCAACCACATCTAAACTGATTTTTAATGATGAGAATTAAAAGTTAACTTTCTCCAGATAGTATTTGAACTTTTCTCTTGAAGGAATTTTGCCGCAATATTGAACAGTTGGTTAACTTTTGGGGCCCTCAGATATTCTCAGTGTCACTTGTCCATGGAAAAAGGAATGACAAACAGGATTTCATGGTCACATGATGTGATGTGTATTTATACTTTCAAAGTAAAAGAGCCTCTTTTCACAATAAAACTAAAGTACCGGTGAGTAAAAGTGAGAAACAGTCATTGTTACCATATGGCAACACTACGGTGGCTGATAGGGTTTTGTGTTTGGTGTGGACGGTCTCTGGAGTCTTTAAAGGATACGGAGCAGACGGAAGGACCAGACATGCTGCATTATTGCACACAATATTTGAATGAGGGACACTCGTACGATGCAATCATGGACATGCTGTCAAGTTTACACAATATAAACATTAGCTTGCGGACTCTAAAAAGTAAACACAGGGTTGTACCGCAGAAAGCCATCACCATGACTACCACTCTGGAGCGTGCAGCCACATGTATGGCTCATCCACGATTAACCAGCGCATTGAGTCCTGGTGGTCCATATGTAGAAAGGGAAGGGAAGTGGCTTTCACAAAGTCATTTAATAATATATATATACACACAGACAAGCCCGAAGTTCTTCATACCGCTGGAACATTTGGACTTAACTTGGTAACATTCAAAACTGTTTTAAACTGTAAACATTGGTCACTTGTCAGCTTCATCAGCTTATTCCTTTTCAAAAAGGTAGATGACTTTTTAATGTTTGTTTTTTTTTGTGCAACAATATTGTTTCTATTTAATGTTTGTCTGTTAGATGTTCTGTGAGTTGTTCTTGGAGGTCGTGTGAAATGTCAAATAAACGTCTCCCGATCGTGTCATTGGACAGAGGGACAGGTTTCAGTGTCTCAGCACTTTTCTCACCTATGATTGTGACCATGTCCAATGCTGCCGGAGTATTAGCTCCTCTGCTATCCTGTGAGCTTTTTGGCCCCTTGCGATGTGGCGGTGTTTGTACGAGGCTAACGGTGCTTTTTTATTTACTGATGCCTGTTGGAGATACTCATCGAGTTTTCTATGAAAAAAGTCCAGTGGCTTATTGACATAACTGGGGTGTAAGGTCTCCAGGTGTTTGCTTTCATGCTGTCCGCTGTCAGAGTTTTTAGGCATTAAACACACACAGGTCTTTCCTCATTTCCGACCGTATTCACGGTAAACCCAAAGGCTGTGTAGGCTTCATCGTATTTCCTGCTCTTATTAGGTTTATGCCGGTTACCGTCACTTGCTGTTCTTTCCTCTGACGTCTCCTCCGTTTTTCTTTTCACTCCTGTCAGAAACTTCTCCATCTCTCCTCCTCCGTCAGTCCCCCTGCCTCTCACTGTTGAGACACCTCACTGCCCCCCCACTATTTGAGAAGTACTGGATTAATGTGAGCAAATCCTCAGAAACTCATGTGAGATGGTTAATATATTCTGGTCAGTGCGATGTACAAAACTGTGGCAAGCAGCTCTCAGCAACATCAACTAGAACTGCTTGACAATGTGTATATTCATTTAAGCTCATACATTTCCTACATTATTATTGTATATATACAGTAAATTCATTAAATCACTACTGTTCACTAAAGTATTCTGTTTTATATGTATTTTGTTTTATTCATATATTTTAACTTGTGCACTAATTTAAGTCTTTTGTGTCTTTTATGTTTGTCATTTTCTTTTAAACATTTTATATGGAATCACTGAAAAACACTAACTTTTGTGCTGATGGTAAGAACTTAAAGTTGATCTTTAATGTTCAGTTTCTTTCCTGTAGAGGGCGCTGCAACACAGTGAAGTGATGCAGTCACTTTACAAGCTGACTGTGAAATTCTGTCACTGCTGAGTTTATATAAACACTTTAAACTTGCTGTAAATATCTGACAGACATTAAATACTTTTTATTCACCTGATCCTTTAATATCTTCCTATAACTTGCACCAGTAAATTCTGCTTCTGCAAACTTCTTGATTTTTCAAAATAAAAAGGATTTCTGCAAATGAAATTTCTCAAAATTTAAAGAGTGTTGAAGTCTTATTTTGAGTATTGAGACTGAATTAAAAACAGAATTTGATGCACACATGAATTATACTTAAGGCACTATTATACACTAATGAGTTAGGCACATATTACACATATTATTTCTGCCAACAGATCCTATTATAGTAGTTAGCTTGTTGATAAGTGAAGTAGCCTTTAGTCTGAGAGCCACAGAGTGAATCAGCTGCAGCTCCATCATCACCATCTTCTCCTGTTACTGAGGACGTCATCAGAGAAGTTGAACAACTCAAACTGAGTTATTACTGAACATGACTTCCTGTATTAAGACCAGGGAATCAGTTTGAGAGTGACAGCAGCTTCTAATCCTGTTTTCAGTTTAACTCTGGGGCTTCCTTTTTATTGTTCATGTATGGAATTTGCCTTTAAGTCTCTAAAGTTGAATTCTTCTGTGTTACAACAGACTGGACGAGCACTTGTTGGAAACTGATTCACTTTAATTGTGTGAATAAAACATGATCTTTCTCAGTGTGGGGGTCAGAGTCAGATGGCTTTCCACCTTTGTTTTATGCTCAGAGTCTAATGAAGACGTAAACAGCCGACTGCAAACTGAGAAACTACAGTAAAGCTTTGATTGAATCCACACTTTGTTCAGGTTTTATCTTATTTCTATTCCTCACAAGCAAATATTCATCTGTTATAAAATGAGAAAAAGCTGATATTTGTGATAGTTATGGATTTATTTATTTGAAAATCAAGTAACAACCAAGTTCAATAAACAACCAACACTTGAATCTTCTTCAGTCAGAAATTAAATTTACACCAACATGGAGATAATTTATATTTATAGTAGCTGGATTTTGGAGATTTATATCAATCAGAAGTAAGATGTGATTTCAATAAACAGATTTGTGTTTTTGATGCAATAATATAAATATGAGAAAACACAACAAATATATACATGCACATAATCTTAATTATTAACAATAACACGTAAGATTAGAGCTTATTTCATATTTTGCTGATTCATTTTATGTCAATAGAATAATATAACAAGGTATTCAAATGTTCTGGTGTTCAATGTGTAACCAATGTTCACTGACTTCTCACCAAAATCCAGATATTTCAGTAACTTTAAGTAACTCTGTTCAATATTTTTATAATAACAATGGATCAAATATCAAAATGAAAATTGATCAATATCACCAGACTTTGCAGTTCTTTAGTTCAGTTTCCTGCAATAACACAATCTGTTGGGATAAATTAGAAAAAAATACTATTTTAAAAGATAATAAATATTATTGCACTAATATTAATGATTCCAAAATATATTGTGGAAATTAACTGCAACTCTTCATCGTCCCACAAGGTGCAAAGAAATAAATCAAATTAAGTAAGTTTCAATCTACAGTTATGTTGACATTGTGTCTGACAGTGGAGCTGATCTCAGAGCAGTTCAGACTGCAGCACTGAGAGTCATCTCCACTGGTTGTGATTCCTCTGTCAGTCACTGCTGGATGAAGCTCTCCTCTCCACTCTACCTCCCAGTAACATGGCCCAGTCAGAGCTGATGCTGCTGCTTCAACCTCTCTGGATCATCAGGACACAGCTGATCCTCCAACACAACCTCCTTCCTCACCACTCACACTCTGACTGAGATCACTTCCAGCTGATGAGAGAAGAAGACAGACAACAGAAGTCATAAATCAGTGTTTACAGAGACTCCCTCCATCAGCACATCCAGTATAAAGACCAGCAGGGACTTCAGTCCAGTTCAGACCAGAAGGTGAGTGGCTGTGTAGCGTAGCCTGCTTCCTTTCAGCTCT